TCATAGCTTTTGGCAATGGCTCACATAACTTGTTTTGGTACTCACATCTGTCCCCCTGTGTTTCTGACCAAGTCAGAAGGTTAATGAAACAATATCAAACAAATGTTTGTCCATTGAGTGCTAGTATAGAATACTACAATCTAGTGAAGATGGAACACTGATTTGGACAGGCGGTGTCACATCCGTAATGTTTTTGAGGAAATGTTGTTATTGTGGACGCGTTTTGAGTATGATTGTATGCAAAGCTAACTTTCATCAAGGGCTTGGGGTCACTTAGAAATGTCCTTGTTTTACATGAAAACATACATGAAATTCGTTTTTGAATAGGAAATATAGCAAAATGAATAGGAAATGTAGTCATTGACAAGGTTAGAAATAATGATTTTTAATTGAAATAATAATTGTGTCCTTCAAACTTTGCTTTCGTCAAAGAATCCTCCATTTGCAGCAGTTACAGCCTTGCAGACCTTTGGCATTCTAGTTGTCAATTTGTTGAGGTAATCTGAAGAGATTTCACCCCATGCTTCCTGAAGCACCTCCCACAAGTTGGATTGGCTTGATGGGCACTTCATACGGTCAAGCTGCTCCCACAACAGCTCAATAGGGTTGAGATCCGGTGACTGTGCTGTCCACTCCATTATAGACAGAATACCAGCTGACTGCTTCTTCCCTAAATAGTTATTGCATAGTTTGGAGCTGTGCTTTGGGTCATTGTCCTGTTGTAGGAGGAAATTGGCTCCAATCAAGCGCCATCCACAGGGTATGGCATGGCGTTGCAAAATGGAGTGATAGCCTTCCTTCTTCAAGATCCCCTTTACCCTGTACAAATCTCCCACTTTACCACCACCTAAGCACCCCCAGACCATCACATTGCCTCCACCATGCTTGAGAGATGGCATCAAGCACTCATCCAACATATTTTCATTTGGTCTGCGTCTCACAAATGTTCTTCTTTGTGATCCGAACACCTCAAACTTCGATTTCTGTCCATAACACTTTTTTCCAATCTTCCTCTGTCCAGTGTCTGTGTTCTTTTGCCCATCTTAATATTTTCTTTTTATTGGCCAGTCTGAGATACGCCTTTTTCTTTGCAACTCTTCCTAGAAGGTCAACATCCCGGAATCGCCTCTTCACTGTTGACGTTGAGACTGGTGTTTTGTGGGTACTATTTAATGAAGCTGCAGTTGAGGACCTGAGAGGCGTCTGTTTCTCAAACTAGACACTAATGTATTTGTCCTTTTGCTCAGTTGTGCACCGGGGCCTCCCACTCCTCTTTCTATTCTGGCTAGAGCCAGTTTGCGCTGTTCTGTGAAGGGAGTAGTACACAGCGTTGTACGAGATCTTCAGTTTCTTGGCAATTTCTCACATGGAATAGCCTTCATTTCTCAGAACAAGAATAGACTGACAAGTTTCAGAAGAAAGTTATTTGTTTCTGGCCATTTTGAGCCTGTAATCGAACCCACAATTGCTGATGCTCCAGATACTCAACTAGTCTCAAGAAGGCCAGTTTTATTGCTTCTTTAATCAGCACAACAATTTACAGCTGTGCTAACATAATTGCAAAAAGGTTTTCTAATGATCAATTAGCCTTTTAAAATGATAAACTTGGATTAGCAAACACAATGTGCCATTGGAACACAGGACTGATGGTTGCTGATAATGGGCCTCTGTACGCGTATGTAGATATTCCATAAAAAATCAGCCGTTTCCAGCTACAATAGCCATTTACAACATTAACAATGTCTACACTGTATTTCTGATCAATTTGATGTTATTTTAATGGACAAAAAAATTGCTTTTCTTTCAAAAATAAGGACATTTCTAAGTGAACCCAAACTTTTGAACGGTAGTGTATATTTGGTAAGTCGCTCTGGATAAGAGCGTCTGCTAAATGACTAAAATGTAAAAATGTTTCCTTTCTCTCTTTGTCAGTACTCGTTCTAAGCGTAACGGATGTGACTGTTCCGGACACTTCATAACTTGATAATTGACTCACTAGTCAGCATAACACGATCATGATCGAATGTTCATGCCCTTCCTACTGCTTCCGAAGTGTGTTTATGTTAGCAAACAAGCTAGCGGGCAATCTTTATCGGTGTGTGTGTGTGATCTATTTCGGGTGTACTCACGTTCTCATATGAACTGCAATCATGCGTTCTTCTGCTAACTGGAGCATTGCATGTGATCACATGGCATAATAAAGGTCTTAAAAATCCATAACAAACTTTCACCGGTCATGCTGAGTTTGTTTACTTCCTTGAGTAACTACGGGTACCCCCAGTGACTATTGGTCTGTATATGTATAGTCTGCCATGCGCATGCTTGTGAACTGCAGCTGTCAAGCCTCAGAATGTCTACGAAAGTGCAAAACCTGTGCCACTGGTAGTAAAAAAAAAAAATTGTATTTCAGTAACGAAAATTAAATAGTTAAACCTTCATAGGAAAGATATCAACTTAATGACATACGTCAAGATATAGTAGAGATAAGGGATGAGTGAGTAATGAGTCCAGCTGTCTCAAAAAAACAAGGGAATGAAATGGGTGTATCAATCCCTGAGTCTAGGGTCAGAGGTATACACTGAGTCTACAAAACATTATGAACACCTGCACTTTCCATGACAGGTGTAAGTTATGATCCCTTATTGATGTCACTTGTTAAATCCACTTCAAATCAATGTAGAGAAAGGGGAGGAGACAGATTAAATAAGTATTTGTAAGCCTTAAGACAATTGAGACATGGATTGAATGTGTGCCATTCAGAGGGTGAATGGGCAAGACAAAAAATATAAGTGCCTTTGAACGGGGTATGGTGGGTAGTAGTAGTAGTAGTAGTAGTAGTAGTAGTAGTGCCAGGCACACCGGTTTGTGTCAAGAACTGCAACGCTGCTGGGTTTCACGCTCAACAGTTTCCCCTGTGTATCAAGAATGATCCACCACCCGAATGACATCCAGCCAACTTTACATTTTAGTCATTTAGCAGATGCTCTTATCCAGAGCAACTTACAGTTAGTGAGTGCATACATTTTTCATACTTGACACAACTGTGGGAAGCATTGGTGTCAACATGGGCTAACATCCCTGTGGAACGCTTTCGACACCTTGTAGTCCATGCCCTGACGAATTGAGGCTGTTCTGAGGGCAAAGGGGGGACGGGGGACGGGGGGGGGGGGTGTAATTTATTTAGGAAGGTGTTCCTAAAGTTTGGTATACTCAGTGTATATACAGGCAGTTTGTGGGACTGGTAACCGATAAAGACTGACTGATGCTGTTGAAATGCAGTTCTTGAGGAGAAACGACCACACAGGATTTGTGTACATCTTGCCAGCCAAGGACGACAAGGCTTGGGTGGCTGCAGGTCAAGTTGTCCAGTCTCTGTGTCCTTTTGTGGACAACAGGAGGAGGAGGTACCATTTAATAGAGCCTGTGCTGGCAGATTAAATGGTGTGAGATTAACACAAAGCATGAGTTTATAAAAAAACTTTGAATTTAGTTTTTGTATGTTTATTCTCCAAAAATGCCTGTCCATTTCCATCACATCCATAACACAAGTTCTGTTGTTCCGTTACTTCAAAGTGGTATTACTTAGAATTGTAATTTTGTGTCTGCACTTCCCCGATAGGGTTCTACAAATACATACATTAACATTTTCATTTATGCTTGATAAGTCAATTCTGTGAGACATTCGGTTTCTCATTTTGTGTGCAAATGTCACATCCATAAAACTGGAATTGCCTCATATCATCATGGCATTGGTAATCAAGGTGCCCTGGCCTGCATGTTCAACCCTTATAATAATTTCCCTCAGGGGGTGGTTAAGCTAGTTCCATCTGTGTTGGTGTAGCCTACAGCATTTTTATTTTGATCTCTTTAACAAAGCAGTGTTTAGTCCTACTCTGGGTGTGACGAAGTGACTTTCTGACATTAACCAGATTTTCGTATTTTATTTGCCAAAACAGATAAAACAATGTGCTAGTCTAATTAAAATGCAGAAATGCTTTTAGAATACATTCTATTCCACATGGAGGACTACGGTTCTTGTCATATTCCATCTGATGATTACTTTCAAATGATCAGACTACCATGCTACAGCTCTATCTGTTCTGACCTCTCCTCAAGGTTTAAGGGCCAGCTATGTTCGTGCTGTGAGGATTTTCACTCCAGATTAAACATCTGCTTGTATTTTTTGTTGTCGTAAATTGTTTTGCTGTGGTGCAGATTACTTGTTTTCTGAGAGCTTTTGTGTTTTGAACTTCTGCACTCCAACACTAAAGACAGCCTGAATCCTGAAATGGGTGGAATGAGTATGCTCTTGCACGCCATCTCCAAACTTGGATGAGGCTACAGTCATTCCTTTGGCAAATCACTATGAAATTGCCCAGCTGCTGGATGGATCTTATTTCAAGTCCAGATTGCCAAATTGTTCTCTTATGAGAGTCAGTAGGGTCAATGCTTAACTAGGCTATGACTCTCAATGCCTATTACAACAATATGCCAAATGCACTACATTTTTGTCCAGGCGTTTCTTATCTGAATAAACTCAAGATTATTATTATTTTTTATTTTAATGAAGTACCATTGTGCTTTTTCTGCCAAAGAATGAGAGGGTAGTCTAACTTGTATTAGCCATTTCGAAAGCATACAGTATTTTCTCAGGCCAGTGTGAATGTGACATTCTGTTGGCTATAGCCAGGTTTCTTAGTGTTGGCATATTTTTTGGCACAGACAGCCAAAGTTTGCTCATAAAGCATGCTTGTTTCTATTTGGCTGTTGTGGCACACCATTATTGTACTTGTAAAATATCTCAAATAAACCTCCAACATTAACTGTCAATGTTCTTTATATATTTTTTATGTGAAAATTAAACTTGAAATACACTAGTCACTAAACTGTCACTGCATGACAGGTGTTCTCAGATATATCCTGATTCTTATTCCTAATAATTGTTTTATTTTCTCTGTTTCTGCCAGGTTGTCTACAAACTGGAAAGACATATCCAAGAGATGGATGACAGCAGCACCTACATAGAGTTTGACGTGCCAGAGTTCAGCAACACCGTCCTCAACCAGCTCAACGAGTTGCGACTCCAAGGGAAGCTATGTGACATTATCGTTCACATCCAGGGCCAGCCGTTCCGGGCCCACAAGGCTGTGCTGGCGGCCAGCTCGCCGTACTTCCGCGACCACTCGGCCCTGGGAACCATGAGCGGCCTGTCCATCTCCGTCATCAAGAACCCTGAGGTGTTTGAGCAGCTGCTGGCCTTCTGCTACACTGGCCGAATGTCCCTGCAGCTCAAGGATGTCATCAGCTTCCTCACAGCAGCCAGCTTCCTGCAGATGCAGGCCGTCATCGACAAGTGCACCCAGATCCTGGAGGGAATCCACTCCAAGATCAGCATCCCCTCCAGCGCCACCAGCCCAGACAAGGAGGGCTCCCAGGCCAGCCGTAACGGTGTCAAAGACAGCAGCCTCTTCATCAACCCCACACAGATCTCCCCCCCGTACTACTCCAGACACAGCATAGAGGCCCGCTCTGAGCTGGCAGCAGGGAAAGGCCATGGCAGGGCGCGGCACCAGGAGGAGGGCCAGTCAGACCGCGGCAGCAGTGACGGTGTGTCCGAGCAGGAGGCAGCCATGGAGGGAGAGACGGAACAGGTGGAGCTGATTGGGAAGGATGGCCTGGTGACAGACGTGCATGTGAAGCTGGAAAAGACGGACCGACCCAGCTACTCCGACAGCTCCTCGGCAGGCGACGATGGCTACTACACAGAGCTGGTGGATGGAGAGCAGGTGCTGGCTGTCAGTGTGGGCTCCTATGGTCCTGTCATCCAGCCGACCGGCTACACTTACTCAGGCCTGTCGTCTCCCTGCTTCGTCAGCCTCAGTAGCTCCAGCTCCTCCCGCTCCATGCTCAGTGGCTTCAGGGGCGGCCGGGCCAGAGCCAAGCGCCCCCCTGTAGCCGTCCCAGCAGAGGTCCAGTGTCAGATCAAACCAGGAAACACAGAGGACCGCAGCGAAGCAGTGTTGGGCCAAGCAGGCTTTGAGAATGACGTCCAGGAACTGAGCCTGCGCAGCCAGTGGTACCCCTACAACGAGAGGCTCCTCTGCATCTACTGCGGCAAGTCCTTCAATCAGAAGGGCAGCCTGGACCGCCACATGCGCCTGCACATGGGAATCACACCCTTCGTCTGCAAGTTTTGCGGCAAGAAGTACACGCGCAAGGACCAGCTGGAGTACCACATCCGTGGCCACACGGACAACAAGCCCTTCAACTGCCAGATCTGTGGCAAGTGCTTCCCTTTCCAGGGCACCCTCAACCAGCACCTGAGGAAGAAGCACTTGGGGGCCACAGAGGGCACCAACCACATGGACTCTCCAGAGAGGACGGAGGGGAGCTCTGGTCAGAAAGACCCAGAGGATGCCTCTGAGGGGATGGCCTTTGAGACGCAGTATGCTGAGGAGGCTCCGGCCACCGACATGGAAGAAAGCTCAAAGTGCAGCCCCGAGGAAGCCCAGGTGTCCAGATGTGATTATTAGGCCCTGCTTCTGGTTGAAAAAGCTTTAACATAATGTTGTTGTTTTTTACGTTTAGGATTTCTTTTGGAAGTGGCTCCTTCAAATTTTGAACCTACCTTGTGCGTCCAGGTTTTCTGCCTGTCCATTTTTGTGAAAGTAGAATGTTTAACATAGAAGAAGAGAAGTAGATTATTTCAAAAGAAAGGAGAATCAACTTGCTATTGATAAGGTTGCCTCAATAATCAAGGCCTCTATGTTGTTTTTGTTTTCTCTTTAATCTTTCCATGTTTAAAAAAAACATATTTACAGAGTAATATAGGCATGTTGCAATAATTGATAATATGAACGCTCTGCTGCTTGTCACAAGTTTTTACCTGACCTGTTTTTGCACACGTGGCCAAAGGTGGTCACTTTACTCACAAGGAATTATTTTTCTGCCAGTGCAAAGCTTCATGTGACATATCCGTTCAATACCTCATGATACAACTACACACTCAAAACAGACAGTATTTTAGCTTTTATGAAACTCCACCGGGTTCTACCTCATAGCTAAGAACCTAACAGGAACAGAAGTGTTCTCCGTTAAAAAAAAAGAAAAGGTTTTGTTTTAGGGTCTGTGTTATATTTGCCAAACCCTAGGCAGAACAATCCTCAGTCTCAACACAAAGCCTTGATACTGTAGACTAATGTTCCTTGTTGGTTGTATGAACTCTGGACCGTCCATAGTTTCATGGTCAGCCAGGATGTAATGTGGGCGAAGAAAGGATTTGCTATATTTAAGCAATAAGTCCCGAGGAGGTGTGGTGGTCAATATACCACGGTTAAGAGGTCTTCTTATGCACGATGCAACGTGGAGTGCCTGCATACAGCCATTAGCCGTGGTCTATTGGCCATATACCACAAACCCCTGAGGTGCCTTATTGCTATGATAAACTGGTTACCAATGTAATTAGTACAAATATTTGTCATACCCGTGGTATACTGTCTGATACATCACAGCTTTCAGTCGATCAGCATTCAGGGCTCAAACCACCCAGTTTATAATGGTGTATAAGAAATCTTAAGTATGTTGTGTGTTTGCATTGAGCAAGCTCAAGGACAGTGGATAGAGTACAATAATAGAAGAACACAATACATTGCATATTATTTCCACTGTCTCTATAGCCAAGATCTAGTTTGCTTTTCAGAACACACAGGAGCAGATTCCTCTTTTGTCTGGCTCTTTTACCCACTGAAGGTCACATGCAGTTGGCCACGGTGTGTTTTACAGATGCGATTCTATCTATTAATCGACATGGGATCAATGATTGATCCTCACACAGTGAAGTCATTGGGGTGTCTTCCATTCTGATGGCGTTTAGTTAATTATTCTCAACCTGTTTGTGTGAAACTGTTGTTTATCCGTGTGGAGATGATGCTCAGTGCAGGGTTCCCCTCATTAGCTTGGCACAGCAGGCGTTGCCCTGGATCTGCGCATGGAATCAATATGCAAACAGGGAGAAGAAAGGAATATCCGCCATCTTGTCATGGCATTTCCTATTCACACTTCATTTCATGAGAACTCTTGTTCTTCTCTCGTTTTCATTCACTGTTTCTGCCCTTTCCTGATCAGACATGACTGTTGAGATGTGGGGATGGAATCGGAAAGCACGTAGTCTCATTGACGCTTCAATAGACATTAAGAGTTTGATGGACAGAGGGTAGAGGATTTTGAGAGAAGGTTGTGAACCAAAGTAATGGTGTACTTTTTGTAAGTAGAATGGTGACAGTTAGGCCTATGTTAATTTTTTGATGTTTTTAAGAGTAGTGGTGACTGGTGACCATCAGTTTATTCAGTGAAAAAATAGGCTTTTAATAGTCAACGATCAAATTAGTACCGCATCAGTCAGTGTAAGCCCATTTGACAACAGATTGGTAGCTAGCTTTTTCAGTGTTATTTGGTAAATAATAATCAAAGCCACTGCTGGCATCGGTGTTGGTGCTCTGCTTGTTTAGAGATTAGCTGGGCTCTCAGGGCTCAGCAGTTGGATGAATGTCATTTGACCACATTTCACAACTTTCGTTTAAACAGATTCCATTTTTCATATCGTCATAACTCACTAACGCACATAATATGGTTGGGATGGGAGGTAGGCTATGTTTGTCAGATTTATATTGCATTACATGGCTAAGCATTGCAATGCACAATGCCATGGCATAGTTTAGGTGGCGAACAGGATTGAAATATTCTTATTGTGTGGAAATGCTTCTAATTGCTATAGTTTTTAATCATATAGAGCAATAATTATCAGAATTTAGGCCTAACGTCCTAGCCCAGAGCAAGCTCTTTATTTGGTAGATGCTGTTAAGATCAGGTGGAAAGCTGATCCTTAAAAAGCACTTTTTGGCGACAGTCATTTTGCCCCATTACCCCTCTGCTTGCTGATTTGCTATTTCAGCAGTGTGATGCCTTCCTTGTATCCTGTTATCTTTTAGTTTTTACACATGAACACACAAGACCATAACTACAGTATTGCAAGGAGCTAGCAGGCTCACTGTTTAGAGAGAAGTGTCCCGAAAAGCCCAGAGGTCCAGGTGGGTGCGGGCAAGAGCATTTCCTCTTCATTTAATGTTGCACCACCATTTATGATGCCTGTTTTGTTCTTTTTCGGTTGTTTGTTGCTTATTTTTTTATCACATTACCAACCCCTTGCCTTTGGCAGAACTTGGTTTCATTATTTTGCTGTGATTTTGTTTTCATATTGGTATTGCATGTATTTCCATATCGTGTAATGTTAGGTCACCAATGCTGTCTTTCTCCACTGAATACTCACTACACAAGTGGTTGGCTCATTGTTTCACCAGATGCCATGGAAACTGTTCCGTTTACAACCAAAAGGACCCTTCTCAGATTCAGTGAGTTATCTGATTCACTGTCTCCATGTCTTGTTGCTGATCAGTGACAGGCCCTTTCCCTTTCTGTTTTTTCCTTTGTTTTATTTTTATGTTTCTCCATCAACATAACATATGCTCGACAGTGTTGACCAAAGTCAGCCACAATCTATTTGTCTGTCTGAATGCCTACTAGGCTAAGTCTTGGATATTTATGTTATGCTCTGTGTGGTAATGCACTCTGCACGTTTGCAGAACCATCTCCGTAAAGTCTTAACCCTGCTCTTACTAAATCTGTTCCTCTGTCCCCCTACTGATTTTAGAATAGGGCATCTACACTGAACAAAATTATGAACGCAACATAAAACAATTTTAAAGATTTGACTGAGTTACAGTTCATATAAGAAAATCAGTCAATTGAAGTAAATGCATTAGGCCTTAATCTATGGATTTCACGACTGGTAATACAGATATGCATCTGTTGGTCACAGATACCTTTAAAAAAAGGGTAGAGGCGTGGATCAGAAAACCAGTCAATATCTGGTGTGTCCACTATGTAGCGTGACACATCTGCTTCACATAGAGTTGATCAGGCTGTTGATTGTGGCATGTGGAATTTTGCCGCACTCTTTTTCAATGGCTGTGCGAAGTTGCTGGATATTGCCAGGAACTGGAACACGCTGTCGTACACGTCGATCCTGAGCATCCCAAACATGCTCAATGGGTGACATGTCTGAGTATGTAGGTCATGGAATAACTGGGCCATTTTCAGCTTCCAGGAATTGTGTACAGATCCTTGCGACATGAGGCCGTGCATTATCATACTGAAACATGAGTGGCACGACAATGGTCCTCAGGATTTCAGCACGGTATCTCTGTGCATTCATATTGCCATCGATAAAATGCAATTGTGTTCGTTGTCCTTCACAACGTTGACATCAGTAAACCGCTCGCCCACACGACGCCATGCACGCGATCTGCCCAGTACAGTTGAAACCGGGATTCATCTGTGAAGAGCACACTTCTCCAGCGTGCCAATGGTCATCGAAGGTGAGCGTTTGCCCACTGAAGTCGGTTACGACACCGAACTACAGTTTGTGCAGAAATATTTCGGTTGCGTAAGCCTTCGGTTTCATCAGCTGTCCGGGTGGCTGGTCTCAGACGATCCCACAGGTGAAGAAGCCGGATGTGGAGGTCCTGGGCTGTGGTGGTTACACATGGTCTGCGGTTGTGAGGCCGGTTGGATGTACTGCCAAATTCTCTAAAAGGACGGAGGCGGCTTTTGGTAGAGAAATTAACATTAAATTACCTGGCAACAGCTCTCTTATTTCAGCTCATGGGACCAACACTTTACATGTTGCGTTTAGTATTTTTGTTCAGTATACTTTACCATGTAATAATATGGTCCTTCTCATGATGTCTTGTTATTAGAACAGGGGCAGACTACTATAGGTTATTGTGCCAGGAGTCAAATCAAAGATTTCCCAATAGATAATCCTCCAAAGGGCTGTCTATACATTTGGCCGTCAAGAAGCATGATGAGTTTTCTACATAAGATCATTTTTTCCAGTTCCTTGCTATTTCCAACTGATGGTCTTGTTACAACACAATGCAGTTGAATCCCACATAGTCTTAAGCATGTTGCCAGATATCATACGTCATATCATGAAAGAAATGTATGAAGCCATGAGTACTAAAATTGAGATTGTTTATTTGTCATTTTAAGATGCCAACCATACACATCCTAGAAATATTTTAAAGAAAAACAAGCTTTTGAATCTTGATCTGTGCCTTGCCACACAAACTATCACTGGCTTTATATCCCTGACTCTATGGCACTTACAGTAGACATTTGTTTTGTGCCGGCCTTCAATGTAAAGAATAAAAGGATCGAGGACAAGGTATATCTATTTATAAAGTACTGTTGATTTTCTTCACTTTCATTTGGAAATATTTCCTTTGATAGTTTATGCAAAATGAAATGTCTACAAGGGAATAGGCACGGAGAATCATGTCTGAGATACATGCCCATGTTGCTCTCTTTTAAGTTAGCAGGGTAATGGGCACCTCATTTTTAGTCAGCCATACCATTTCCTTGTCATCGGACCCCTTTTTGATAATTGTATCCATTTAATAATGTGATGGATTGT